TTTTTTTAGTGTAACTCGTTTTAGAGATGTCTCAATTGCATTTTTCTCTACTTCTTGGTGCCCTCTTCAAAAATTTATGGACACCTCACCTCATAAATGTCTTTTCTCTGAAAGAAATTATCTGAATTTCTTAAGTTTCATAAAAAATTCTTTTTAAGTCTATCTCATTCAAGGGTTTTGGAAGCCCTGGGTACCTGAAGTCATGCTAGTCTCTGTGCTCCAGCCTGCCTCCATGGAGCAATCCCCACCCTCTCCTGGCTCCGGACTCGGGAGCAGGGTAGCTCAGTCATTGCTATGGTGCATCTGAGCTAAATGGCCATCTCAGAAGCAGGATTTGGCCCTGGAGCCATACAGGTGGCACTTCCCCTCTCCCTCCCACTGAGCTCAGGATCTGGCCATGCCCCCTGCCGGGGTTTGTTTTTTCTTTTTGGAGGAGTCTGTTGTTTCTCCTTTTAGGAACCTCCGGTGGTATTCTCTGCCCTGAACTGGAATTGTAGCTCTTCCTCCATGTATCCAGGTGGCTGTTTCTCTTAGTTAATGAATTACCTTCCCTGAACTCAAAAAGCCTCATTTCGCTGTGAATGGACTCACGGACACAGGAGCAGGGGAAACATGACTTGAAGCAGAAAGGCAGGGTATTTTCAGTATCTTTCAGTATTGGCCTAATTCTGTTCTCTTAAAAAGTGAAATTTTTAGAAAGTTCATCTGCTTTACCTGCAAAGGCAATATTAATATAATGCTAAGATGATTCTGCAAGATGTACTCATGAAATACATAGAAGGACAGCTAGCACAACAGGATGTTTAAATCAGCATTATCTTGGGTTTTGCATATCATACTGTCATGCTGTATTACTGTGGGTAATTTATTGTGTGTGGAGTTCAAAGCGTTCAGGCTTGGTTCAGCCCAGCTACGGCAACAGGAGCTGGTATCACATAAAAGAGCGTATGGTTTAAGAAACATTTGTACTGTGCCTGTGAAAAGAGGAGGTAACTGCAAAGCTGGACTACATGTTCCCCACAAGATTTGTCCCTTTGTGTTAATTACAAGTTATTTAAGTATTTTTTTTGTCTCTATATGGTTCCCAAATAGCTGGAAAGGATGAGGGAATTTGTTTTTACCATCCTTTCTGCTACAAGTTATTAATTTAGAAGGCAGGATGTCCAGTTCGGATCCCTGATGCCATCCATAGTGCACTGTCTGAGTTACAAGGACATGAATTTCGGGTCTGTGCAGTGTCTCTTCACTGCTGCTTTGCTGCTGCTGGTGGTGGCTGCTGGTGGAGCGTGGAGCATGATCTCTCCGGACAGGGAATGGCCAGGGTCTTGGTAGCATCCTCCATGTCGGCCTGGGCAAGGAAAGCCTTTTGGTGAGGACCATGCATGGCCCACAGGAGATGTGTGTCGGTATCACTGATGTTGTCTGTGCACAACTGTGCCTGCTGGAGCCCTCTAGAAGGAGGGGGCATTTCCCACTCCTATATCCCAGTTTGCACAGTTGGCTCTGATCAGGCTTCAAGGTGGGAAACATAATGAAGGAAGAGTGTTTCCACAATCCCGTGCCGTGGAGCTGGCACAGCCTGTGCTGAGCTCACGCTCATGCCCCCTGGCATATTGGTGTGGTGCCACCAGAATGGCCTTGGAGCAAGGGGCCATGCTGGGGCGTTGGTGCTGCCGAGCCTGGTACGGCCGGCAAGCTCCACCACCCTTCCAGCAGCCTCCTGCTCGCTGGGGCTGCCGCAGTCCAGTGCCTGCCTCGGTCACCCTCTCACCGCCACTGCCTTCAGCTGATGGGCAGGAAAAATGGTGAGAACGTGCTAGTAAGATTGCTGCTGCATATTCTCTGATACTGAGGTTCTGCTATAATGGACAGGGAAAAAAGGCTCATAAATACTCAAATTATTTTTAACTAAGCAACATGACATTTTAGAGGACTGGCTGTGCTTTCTTTTCTGATATTTTTTGAAAGTTTCACTGCAGTTTATGAAAAGAATAAGAAAATCATAGTGGAAAGAGGAACTTTTTGCTTCCCTGAAGTAGTGTATTTCCCTAGATTGTCCAAACTATTCCAGGTTTCTTCTTTTTACATGCCTAATGCTATTTAAATTCTGCCATAATATTTGTCCACTCTTGGTATTTCTGTGTCAATATTTGAATTACCTGATGAATTTAATTCCATAGTATACTAGTGAAATGGCAGAAAAACAACTAACCTGACGATAAAAAGCACACCTGTGTATTCTGGGTTTGAACCTGAGCTGTGGATGAATCACGGCGTACAGCAGATAGTCATTGCTAAACTGCCAAGTACAGAGATGCACTGTGTGACTCACTTGCTGTGTTTCTACTACCATTATAAACTCTGAGAGCACTTGATGAATAACAGAAAGTCAAGAATGAATTCATCCATGTTTCTCTCTGTAACTATCTATTATAAATACTGAGCCAAATTCTGCCTCCAGATACACACAGCTCTCATTGAAGCCTGCCCACTGTATTTATTTTTAAAGATAAAAGCACTTCTGTTACTTTCACAGAGGACTTCTGTGACACAGTCCATTGTAAGGATGTGAATATCCTTCCTCAAGAGCTTCAAGTGAAGCAGGGAATGTCTGCCTGGAACAGGGAAGGGCACTTCAGGGATAATAGCCTCCAAACTGTGGCGGTGGGATAATAACGGTTACGTTTGTCCCAGTGATTTTCAGAACTGCATTCCACAGGCTCAGGTCTTGTGTAACCCTCTAACTCCCTGCCGAGGCTCTGGCTCCTCTCGTGGGTGACCCAGGGGCTGAGCTGCTGAAGCTGATGGGCAGGTTCGTACTGCTCCTGGAGCTCACTGTCAGGTTCAAAGTGCATTGGATTGGTAGGGGAAGCTTCAAGTTAGGGTTTGGGTTTTTCTTTTTTCTTCTTTTGTTTTTCCTGAGCTTTCTCAAGGGACATAGATGAGAATGTTTCTTTTTTCCCCAGAACATCCTCTGTTCTATCCCCGGACCCCAAATGTCAGTGGTTTTGGATATGTGCTACTCACCCCTGAACGGAGGGAGATGTTTGTCCTGGGGCCTCATGTTTTGGAAAGGCTCCGATCAGAACAATGTTTTCTAGTATCATGCAGTAAATAGACCTAGAGGCGGAGGGATATTTCTTGGGTACGTAGGAGATGGTCTTTGGCCAGCTTGGGGGCTCTCCTCTGTAATTGCCCCGTCAGCTCTTCTGGTATGGAGGAGGCTGTGTTAGGGCTCTTGCTGTATATGCAGAATAGCTCACAGGTGAGTCTCCCATCAGGGTAAAGGCAGTGGGGAAGTCCAAGGGACGTGCAGAGTGTTTACTGTTTCTGTGGTTGATTGAGGCATGTCTCATTGCCACCAAGCTTTGTGATGCTGCTCAGCCCACCACTTTCATGACAGCTCAGAGGAAATGCTGGGCTTGAAGTTTCACCTGCTCCTGCAGTCTTTATGCAATCAGTTATCCCCAGGGAATGGTGCTGGGTCAGGGAGAGAGCAGACAGAGCTGTGCTTCCCAAAACACAGCAGTTTCACTGGGAGGCAAAAGGATTATTAGCCCTTTTTAAGGTGGAACTACTGTTTGAGTCACATATTTATTGTGAATAAAATCTAATTTTCATGATTCACCATGACTTTTTAATTTAAAGTAGCTCTGAAAGCCATTATTATTAAATGATAATATCTGATCAGAAGGGGGTTGAGTTACCAATTGTGAATAATTATCTGACAAATAACAGTAGCTTTTTGTCATGTTTAGAGGTTTTCTGGAAACTGGCCTGACTCTCTGGAAACTAGGGAGTTTTTCTGGTTTGGTTGGTCTTTTTTTTGTTAAAAATCTGCAGAGTATATGCACCATCCAGTCTGGTGCTTTCTTTTCTAGACCGTTCAGCCTCTGTGATACGTGGCTGGTTGACTGTGTTCAGCTGATTTCTTTCACGTGGTGGTTTTTTTTTTCCTCCCAGGAAAAAAAAGGTGGCAAGTGTTTTTGGAAAAGGCCTGTTAGTTTTCACTTTGAAGTAGCTAGCTTGGGTCAAGCCTTTCTCTCCTCCCCAGAGGTTACCTTATCATGGAAACAAGGATTGCGATGTGTTGTCTTCCTAGGCTTACGTATTGAGGAGCTACTACTACATTTTTCCATGAGGAGCAGCCAAAGCCTATGGCTTGTGCAGTAGCTTCTTTTCCTGGCTTGGGCAAATGAGAGCTAATTAACAGGAGCGAAATACATGTGATGTAGCAAATAATAGTAGTTTTGTTTATGTATAAATACTGATAGTTATAAGAGAATGCAAATGCTTGTGTGGGAAACAACTGTTCCCCACCTGCTGTTTTGGACAAAAGGGATTGAGCGTCAGTGTTCACAAAGCAGCAAGTTAGAGGGGATATAAGTAGGGTCAAACAGCACATATGTTCAGGAACCCAGTGAGTGTTCTCAGACGTCGTTTCTGTCATGGTTAACAGGAGATTGCATGTGCTTCATCAGCCTGCAGTTCTGTGCCCAAGGAGCAGCTGCTCTTTGCAACTGCAGTGAAAATTGCAAAAGTGTCTTCGCATCCTTTAGCGATTGTGGCATTCTTCCCTTTATCACCCTGGGAAGATGTCATTGCATTATGATGACTGATTCACTTCTCATTAAGTGGGTCGACATCTAACTGTAATTAATGAGTTAAAAATCAGATTAACGAAAGGGCAGCCCTCAAGAAACTGGTGCTAATAATTGCAAGACATATGGGAGTCGGGGAGGACTTGACTCATGATTTTTACCACTTGTGGTTTGTTTTGGTTTTAAAGCAGTTCACTCATGCCCAGGACAGACAAGCAGAGACGCTTCTGCATGTAAACACTCTCTCATCTGTCAGACTCAAGTTTCCCTGGCAGCGTGGCTGGTAACGTGCCTGTGCTGCGCCTGGTTGCTGCCTACTGGCCAGGGGCACAGTGACCCACTTGGAGCTGATCTCTCCTGCTAATGTCGTTACAGGCCAAGTGGTGAAGGCAAGGAAACATGGCAGAGGATAGGAAAGACGAAGCGAAGGCACCACACTGGACTTCAGGTCAGCTAACAGAGGCTTCTTCACACCCACATTCACCTGAAATTAAGGAACAGGGTGGCGCGGGTGCTGGACTGGTCAGAAGTGCCAATGGATTTCCCTACCGAGAGGACGAGGAGCCGGGGCTGAGTGGCCATGAGCAGCCGGGGACATATGCTCGGACCAAAGAGAATGGGATCAATGGAGAGCTGTCGTCGGGGGACAGAGAGACCGCAGGTAATGCACCTCGATGTCCTGCCATGAAACATGGGGCTCTGCAGACCACTGGATGATGTTTCTCCAAGGGGAAATGTTAGCTGGAGCCAAGCGTGCCCCAGGGCATGGGGGAGCTGACATGAGGGAGCATGTGCCTTGGAAGGGCTCTAGCTCTTCACTGCAAGCACTGCTGCACCTTCATCTGGGTTTGTACAGCTTGCATCCTTACCCAAGATCCTGGGAAGTGCTCTGAAAAGACTTCAGGAAAGGCATGACAGTGCCTTAGTGCGTCTTGGTATATGGGACAGGGTAACCTCTCTGGGAATGAGAGAACAGGCTGGTGTAGAGCAACCACTCAGCTCCTCTGGGCTGGAAAGGAGTGGGAAACCACTCAGCTATTGTGCACAGATAGCTCATGTTGCTCTTGCATGCATTTATGTGTGTATGAAGGATGGGTTTTCCTGTTATTGCTCACAAGTAACACCACCACCTTGAAACCGCCAACTATTTGCAGAATAATGTGTTACTCAATCTGACTGGGAATACCACAGTTCAGCATCAGCATTTATTCACCCTTGCCTGGGTATATGCCATAGTTTAACCCCAGCCAGCAACTAAGCACCACACAGCCGCTCACTTACTCCCCCCCAGTGGGATGGTGGAGAGAATCGGAAGGGTAAAAGTGAGAAAGCTTGTGGGCTGAGATAAAGACAGTTTCATAGGTAAAGCAAAAGCCATACACACAGGCAAAGAAAAACAAGGAATGCATTCACCGCTTCCGATGGGCAGGCAGGGGTTCAGCCATCTCCAGGAAAGCAGGGCTCCATCACACATAATGGTGACTTGGGAAGACAAACGCCATCACTCCAAATGCCCCCCCCCCCTTCCTTCTACTTCCCCCAGCTTTACATGCTCAGCATGTCATCATATGGTGTGGGATATCCCTTTGGCCAGTTGGGGTCAGCTGTCCTGGCTGTGCCCCCCCCCACCTTCTTGTGCCCCCCCAGCCTCCTCACTGGTAGGGTGGGGTGAGAAGCAGAAAAGGCCTTGACTCTGTGTAAGCGCTGCTCAGCAGCGTCTAAAACATCCCTGTGTTATCAATGCTGTTTTCAGCACAATTACAAAACATAGCCCGATACCAGCTACTGTGAAGAAAATTAACTCTACTCCAGCCAAAACTGGCACAGCATATTTCACTGGATACTCACTGGGACTTTGTCTATTTGTAAACTGTGTTAGGATTTTAGGATTCAGCTTGTTATTTGGGAAGAAAAAAAAGTGTGACTGTGTCAAAATGAAATATGCAAAGCAAGTTTCCTGTTTTAGAAATAAATGCTAATTCTCTCCATGCAGAGTTCCCACTTTAAACCCCACATGCACTGTGCAAGAGGAATTTCTCTTGTACAGACACAACTGCCCTTGATGCATCCATCCATGCATGCTAAAGAGATCTTTCTAGCAATGTTTGTTGGTTGTTGACAGCATTTGGAGATGCCATCCATAATTTCTCAGCACCTGGAGTATTTTAAGGCTCTTAGACCCTACAGTCATTTCATAAGCAATTGTGCTGGAAATGGATCTCTCTGCTAAAAGTAAATGGGTTTAGATTTTAGAGTCTCTTCTTGTGGATAGCCAAAACTTGAAAACCAAAGGTAAAAGAAATCCTGCATGAGCACTGAGGTGAACATAGTGTTGGTGATTGGGGGGGGGACGATGTGTGATAATAAGGTCTTGCCTCTTTGCTGTAACCCAACTTTGTGCTGTGCTTAGCCAGCAAATAAGCAGGAGCAGATGTACAAGAATCACAGAGGTAAGATGCTGCAGTTCTTAGGGGTTGGTGTGGGCCATGGGAAGACTGAGCGTGTTTCTCTTTGTCACAGATTTTTCACACAATCTTGGAAAAGTCCTACCCATACACAGGAAGAAGTGGGAATAACTTTATCGAGGATGAAGAGGAATTTCCTCTCCTTAAAAATGGAGAAGTGGTCTTCTCAGGCTTTCTCAAGCTCAGGATCTGAGCAGTTGTCAGGGTCTGAGAGAGACCTGAATGTTTAATTGAGGAGTTTGCAGCTAATGGGCGAGAGGAGGTGGGAACCCACTGCTGCCCATCAGCGGGTCTTGTAGTAGTGCTTTTTCATGATGCTTTTTGAGGCAAGGGGTTAAACAGCAGAACAAGTGAAAATGAGGCAGTATAGTTTAGAGGAGGCAGTGGGACTGGCATCGTACACTTTGCCAAGGGAACCAGACTGCTCTTGATCTGGGTGAAGTTTGCTTCGGTCACCACTCTGTGGCCTCATTTCCTCCTCCCCTGCTTTTTTCTCGCTGTCAGCTTAGATTGCAAGATCTCTGGTGTGGGGACTTACTGTCAATACGTACAGTTTTTGTTTGGGAGCCTTAATATAGCTTATCTCATGGCATCTTTGTCCTTGAACACCAGAAAAGTCCCTAAAACTGCTTGCCTTCATGGGTGAATTTCTAGCTCTCTGGAAACTTGTGCACTGCACACACACACTGGCTAAAGCTCATATTTAATTAATGCAATATGAACCATCTTAGGATACTTAAGATAGATTTTTAATCCATTTTCTTCTTTTGAAGGAGAAACTTGTTGGCAACTTACTGTGGTGATAGAAAGGGCCCAGGGTGTGTTGCCGTTTTACACTAGTATGTACTAGCTGGATGTGCGTAACATGTTGTGAAGCAGGAAATTTAGAGGTGGATTGTTGGTGTTTGATTCAGAGTTTGATCCTGAAATCAGGATTGCCATTTGCCACCAAATTCAGTCATCTTTGCTGTGTTTGTCTGCTTGTAAATTTTAACTGCAGTGGGGTGTGTTTTATCAGGTAGGGTTTTTAAATGCCACTCTGATCAATAATGTGAATTGTTTAATCATTTGTAGTAGCTTACTAACTCCAAGCAGCTGAGGAGAAAATGCCCAAGAGGCCAAGGTCAATCAAGATAATTAAGCCAAACTGTGTGTTTAAGTGGATTTACAGGGATTTTATTCTCCCTGGTGCAAGTCCAGCACCATAACCTAGGAAAATCTTTGGCTTCTCAGCCTTTGTGTTGGAGTCTGTAAATCCCCAGCAACTGCAACAACCAGCTCATCCACAGCGGAGCACTAGTATAAACAGGGCATGTCCCAGGCAGCCACCCATGGCCCCATCCCTGCTGCTGAGACCTCAGTTATGTTCTGAGACGTTTCGCTGAAGGAAGCTCTCTAGCACCTGCCTGACCCGGGAGCTGAGATTTAGCCATGTAGTGGCCCTCTCCTAGGGAGGGGTATTCTGCAGCAGTGCTGTAGGCCCTTCAGGGCACAGCAAAGCAGCAGGGCACCCATTTGCAGGGGTCATGCTGCAAAATCTGAGGGTTGTGTGTTAAGGGGAAGGTTAGAGTTGGGCCACCAGGACAAAGGCACCTTATGCCAATACTGATGCAGAGGCGAGGGGTGGTAACGGGGGAGGAAATAACAGTTCTTGCCAAAACGCGTCCAATCCATCACTGCAAGTGACATTTTTAGGTTTGCACAGTTAAAATTTGCCTTCCTGTATATATGTGTGCATCTCTCTCTTGGCGTCTGTCTAAGAGTTAGTGAGTCTGACCTCAATTTTGGAATCCTCTGAATCTGGCTGTTGTGTTGCCTCTGATTGATCTGTCTCGGTATCATGCTAGTAATGGCTGCATTATGGAGACACATCAATGCCCTCCTTTCAAATGGACCGATGGGAACGTGGGAGAGTGCACAGCACTGTGGACAGGGCAGCCCTCAGGGCCTGATCCTGCATCCACTGAAGTCAAAGGCAAATACATGTGAGAGAATAGGCCATGATTTTTTGCGTAGCCCATAGGAAGCTGTTATGGATGTGATGCAAGTAAGGGCGGTAAAGCAGCTATTCCTTTTTGTATGTATTTGTGCGTATATATGTATTTGTATATATACTTAGGCCGTCCCTGGCAAACCAGCTCAGCCCTGCTCCGTCCTCAGCCCCATGCCTCTGCCAGCCACAAGTCCCATGCTGCTCCCAAGGAGCTCCTGAAGACACCTTGCCTTTTGGGGTGCTCTGCAGCACCCCACAGCCTGAGATCTGCTGAGTTTCACTCTGCTCTCTCTGATCCATACCTGTCCATGTCCTTTCTCACCTGCACACACACAGAATCTTGGGTGAGGGTTTTGGAAGTACTAAGAGAGGAGGATGACATCTGTAGCTCTTGTCAAGCCAAACAGTTTCACGTCACATGAGATGAGTGCTGCGAAGGAGGCATGATAGCATAATCTTCAGAAACTTGCTTTGAAGTGGGCTGATGTGGAAAACTTTGGATGGGATCCCGTGGTAGAGCAGAGAGGATGTGTTTGACTTGTAATGAAATATGAGAGCGGCAGCCTTTTCTTTGCTTACTGAAAAGTTGTGGTCAGCTGGGCGGAAGCACTAAGGAGCAGTACAGATGTGCTGCAGTGTTCCCTGGGAACCAGCAGTTCAACACCATCCGTTGTATTTGACTTGCAAGGAACATCAAGCTGCAAAGGTTTGATTTTTTACACTTAAAATGCGTTTATTTTTCTTTTCAGTAATATAATGACTAATCCATCAAATTTATATAATTAGGGGTAAAAGTAGTTAGATGCATTGTGAAGCATCTTCTACAAGATGTCTTTATGTACAGTGACTCAGCTGATTGAGTGCTTTCTCCATTGTATGCGAAATTCAGGTTTATAATCGGGGGGTTGGATTACCCACACATTTATTTGATGAACTATTTTTTTGACAGGTGATGGGAAAGCATTTCCTGAAATCCTATTACCAGAGCCTCAGGACAGTGCCTCTGACCTGGTGTCAGTCAATGTTAAGGACAGTAACGCGTCCTGCCAGAGTGACAAACAGAGCCCTTCATTAATTCGCAGGGTACCCAAGCCACGTGGGATGCAAAGAGACTGCCAGAAGATTGTTGCAGACTTCCTGACAGCACAGCGGACTGACCGCAGGTTGAGCACTCCTGCCATGTTTTTCAGAGCCCTTGAGTCA